ACCTAAGCCTCCCTCCTCCTTGTCCCCTGACTGCCCCCTCCAGAACCTCCCTGCCCCTTCTCCGACCCCCTGGCCCCCTTACCGTGCCGCTCAGACTGCCGGACGCCCGTTGTGAATGCAGGGAGGGGGAGGGAGGAACAGAGAGGAGGGGAGTGATCTCAGCTGCAGGGGAGAGGAGGGGGAAGTGGAGGAAGGGCTCTCTCTGGCTGCCGGAGCCCCATGCAAGTGGCACCATCCGGCCGGCTGCCCTGTCAGCCGCGTGCGCTCTGCATGGGAGGTGGGAGGGGGGGGAAGTCCGGACATTTACAAATTCCCCCTGGACGCTATTTTAAACTGAGAAAAGCCGGACATGTCCAGGGGAATCCGGACGAATGGTAACCCTAGGCAGTTACTAAGCTAGAAATATGTTAATTTGTATTATAATTCATTGCTAAAATAAGAGTACCTGCGAAATTCTCTTTTCCAAGTTTTTTAAATACAATATGCCTCATTTCTTAGTCTTATCACGTGGACTTAAATTAACTTTTAAAACTAGAAAGGAACAGAATTTGTAAACCTGTCAATATTTCACAGTAACAGGAAGATAACTCACATGACCAAAGATCTAAGAGTGCATGTAGGTTTATATTCTTCCTTGAATATAGTTTACATTGGATATTTATTGGGAAATCAACTTAGTGTATACGCGGGAGGAGCGGGGGACTTTCAGAAGTTTGAGGGGATTTGCTGGATCTTAGCAGGCTTAAATTTAGACTGCAGAGAAATCGGTTTTTCACTGGCTCCTTAACTTCTAAGCAAGGTATGCAAACAATTGCAGATTGAAAGCAATTCTAATTAGAGAGAAACTGCTAAAATTACACTTATTCTTTTACACAAATATGCAACCCACAGGGAAATTCAGAATGTAAGTAAGAAGTCTCACACTTAAATCATCCCCCATCACACCAGAAGGATAAAAGGATGTCTGGACAGACAGCAGTTTTGCATATACTATATCTTGATGATCACTTAAACACACCTCCAGAAGAGGGAGGTGCTAGACTGAAATACCAAATTATGATCTTAATGCTGGATTTGCTTGCACTTGTTCTTTCTTACCATCACTCAACTTCATGAATTCCTTTTTCAATGGTTAATTAAAAACATCTCATGCAGCTGTGACAATGTTGAGAAAAACACAACGTAACAGTTCATTTAGAATCAGTCTGTCATATAAATACATATTTGATTTACTTGACAGATAACAGCGCCTGTTCGAAAAATTTGTATTCTGATGTGCACGTTAAATCTAAAAAGGCAACTGGTTTACCCAACACATTGTAAGGGCTGCTTTGGATAATAGCGAAGTACGTCGTCTTCCAATGCCACACAGGAATAGCATTGCATTCGTGTTAGTGTTTGCATTTAGGGAGTTAAAACTCCCAGGCCAAATGACTAACACTCAGAATTTCTGATCACCAATATTTCAAAAATTAGATTTACTTATTTATTTATTTTGCTAAAGCAAAGCAGTATTAGTATCTGTAGATTGGCTATTCATTAAACAACAATCAAATTACCAAAACACCCAAGTTAAAATTGTTAGATCAACCATATGCCACATTATCCAGAGACCAAGAATCTCCTCTAAGAGTCAGTCCTGCAGAGCAGTCCTGCGCGGTGCTCAGCATCTCACATCTAATAGCTACTCCTATTATTTCAACTATTCACTATAATATATCTTAAATCTCTCCACGGGGGTATTTTTTTAATCCTACATGTACTATGATTAATTATTTGTGAAGCAACAACAAAAAGAATATCCTTGTCTATAAAGACCCGTCAATACTCCTTGAATAGTTATAAAAGATTTACAAAGTAAACACTGAAAGTGCCACAACAGACTAATGTAGCACGTATTAAAATGCCCAATAATCCAAAATTAAACAGTGTATTATTCAAAGCACAGTTGTTTGTGCATCTTTATTAGGAATATATTAAAAGAAATAAGAACCACACATCTAGATGCAATTTATCTGCCTGTGGAAGCAACAGTGTCATCTTAAAGTAGCATCCATCATCCTTTCATAAATGCTCATTTTTCTGTTTCAATTAACCTTGACTGAGTTTCTCTCACCGAACTGGAGGAGTTTGTGTTTCCCTTTGTTAATTCATCTCAACACTTACATAAGAAGAAACTTAAGGGAAGTGAACAAGTAAGAGTTTTCTAGATTTCTGATTAATGTGGCTCAGGCACCTAGACAAAACCTGGCCTTTCTACTATCCTGGCAGTAAAATGCCCGATTATTTTTGAATGTAAATATTAGATAGAAATTATTTAAAATTAAAAACATGAAAAGCATATGACTGTCTCAACTGGTTATTCCATGAGCTACACAAAGTACTCCTGTAGAAGCTTTCACTGTCCAGTTACAAAATGGTGAGCGCATGCAGAATGCCCCGGCAATAAATATCGGAAAATATTCTAATCAGTAAAATCACATGTATACTTATACTACAACGTTTTATTTTTAGTATGACTCTAGGGTAGTGTGCTTATTCATTTTGATGCTAGCAATTAAAAGTTCCTGTTTAAGTGATTTTAAAATGCACATAATTCTGACACATTAACCCCATTAATTTACAGAATATCACTTAAATTTTGCTGTTTTTACAATAAGGGGAGTAGATTAAATTCAACACTGAGATTTATGATGTACTTAAACATCTGAGATGTAATCAGCATTCTCTGTCCCATTAAGGAAGCCAGGCAGGTGTGGCAGACCATTTCCCACAATCAGAATGTATAATTTCCTACTTAAGTTAGAAAGGCCAAGATTTTTAGGACATGAATCAATCATTACACACCAATTCACTTCAAAACACTCTGGGTGGGGCCTTCTCTCAGTGATTCTACATTACCTTCATTTTCAGTGTTGGCTGGGACAGAATCAACACCAAAAGGATGCCATGGCTGAAGGTCATCTAGGCTGAATTCTCCATCAACTGGAAGAAGTTCAACTGTGGTTTTAGTTTCAGTCAATGAAGGCATGAGGGCATCATTTCCATAGCTGATCCTGGGCTCACTGATCATATTGGCCAAGACATCATCGGAGTAGTTTTGCTCTTTCTGAAGCAGTTCATCTGAAAACAAAACAAATACAAGAAAATAGGTTGTCAATATATGAGGACTCCATTTCAATTTTCCTTCGATAGGAATTTATAATAGCAGATTTTGTTTTTTGTAAGAAGTTTTAAGAAAGGAAAATAAAAGTAAAAGTTTGGCATGCTTAACATTCTTCATGCTGCTCGGTGAAACATTTTCCAAATGCCAACAAGAAACATTTGATACTCACAAAAGCTTGTGCCCAAATAAATCTGTTAGTCTTTAAGGTTCGACCGGACTCCTCGTTGTTTTTGTGGATACAGACTAACATGGCTACCCCTCTGATATTTGATACCCAGTTTCCCCACCCAGCGCATGAGAGCATGGGTCAATATCCCTTCATTCTGGGGCATCTCATTCCTTTTGATGATCTTGATTGTTTTTTCCACATTTGGAAAAATTAAATTAACGTCAGTTGTCAATGTTACTTCCTGTGTTAAGGTGGGCGGAAACTATGAAGGAATAGCTTCGTTCGTTCCTCTCCCAGTCGCAGCACATCATTATCTCTGCAATGCTCTTGATCTCTCTCTGCCCACTAATCCACAGTCCCAGTATCACTTATTGCATAAACCCGGGTCTACTGGGACACTAAACCAACTTATGGAAACATCTGTTTCTTTAATACCATGCAGATACTTTATCCAAACTACTGCAATATAATTATAATCTCAACAATCTCAGAGTAGTAGATACCTACATTATCAACCTATAGTGTGAACCTATAGAAGGTTCTATAAAACATACTGACCATAAACGTATAGCAAAAAATATAGAAAATATATGAATAATACACTCAATCCTCTGCAAACAGAGATATCACTAATTCGCCAGACACACATTTGTAATGTAGTACCTATTGTTTTTGGATTTGAAAAACTTAGGAAAAGAGAGGAACAGAACACTTCATAGTCACATGAAGTACACACATTTTAGCTGTTTTGCTTCCCAAGATGCTAAAAATTAGTTGGATAACAACACATGCCCTTGCATGTCTCATCACAGTAATTCCTTGTAAACGCTGTTGTGTCCCCTTGCCTCAAGGTGAGCAGATGCGCCTGCGACGTTGCACTCCATAATGTTTTATGGAAATATGCTTATGAGTGTGAATATGATGTAACTGGAATATGCTTTATGCAAAAGGTCTCTCTTTAAGGTATCATTACAAAGCTTATAATCTACTGAGTGTGTTCATCCTATTTGTATGCATGTATCATTCTTGTATCTGAAGCTAGAAATATGAAGTATAACTCTAAGGTCTATTGTAATTATGCAAAGTGTGGGCCACTAATGGAGGTTTAGAATCTTGATGGCTCCTATTGACTAGGACAATTGATTGTAAATGGCTATGTTTACTTGCAAACCTTCCTGGGTATGTGCGGGCCAGCTCTGGAAGAACGGAGGCTGGGGTCTCACAGGACATGTGAACATGTCACCTTACTGGAATCCATCTTAAACCTGGTGCTTTTCCATTTAGAAGGAGGGGTGCGGACCCAGAGACACAAAAGATTCCCGCCTTGTGCCAAAGCTACAAAAGGGGGTGGAACATAACGAAGGGGGTTCCAGTCATGAGAAAACCCATAATTTCCACCTAAGATGTCTGCTGGAACTAACAAGGACTGTACCAGGGGAAAGGATTGGGCCCAGACTAATGCTAGGTCCACACTACCTGCCTGATTCGGCGGGTAGAGACCGATCTTCTGGGATCGATTTATCGCGTCTCATCTGGATGCGATAAATTGATCCCAGAAGCGCTCCCCCGTTGACCTCGGAATTCCTGCTCGCCGAGAGGAGGAAGCGCTGTCGACGGGGGAGCTTGCCTGCGCCGCGTAGACCCGCAGAAAGTAAACTTAATTCGATCTAGGAAACGTCGACTTCAGCTACGCTATTCTCGTAGCTGAAGTTGCGTTTCCTAGATCGATCCCCCGCTCCAGTGTGGACCAAGCCTTAGATGGAGTCTAGTCTGTGAAAGAAGCTTATTGGAACATCTCTGAGGGTGAGATTTTACCTGTAAACAGTTTCTTACTGTATTAGGCTTAGACTTGCATGTTTTTGCTTTATTTTGCTTGGTGACTTACTTTGTTCTGTCTGTTATTACTTGAATCCTACTTTTTATACTTAATAAAATCACTTCTGTTTATTAATAAACCCAGAGTAAGTGATTAATACCTGGGGGAGCAAACAGCTGTGCATCTCGCTCTCTCAGTGTTAGAGAGGACGGACAATTTATGAGTTTACCCTGCATAAGCTTTATACAGACTAAAACGGATTTATTTGGGGTCTGGATCCCATTGGGAGCTGGGTGTCTGGGTGCCCAAGATAGGAGACCTGCTGAGCAACTTTTAGTTAAAGTCTGCAGCTTTGGGGGCATAGACCAGACCTGGGTCTGTGTTGCAGCAGGCTAACGTGTCTGACTCAACAAAGCAGGGTTCTGGAGTCCCAAGCTGGCAGGGAAAACGGGCTCAGAGGTAATCTCAGCACATCAGGTGACAGTCCCAAGGGGGCCTCTATGACTGAACCAGTCAGAGCACCCTACCTCACTTTACAGGATGTGGAGGAGGACGGCGGCCCATGCCATAAGCTCAGCATATATCCTTCAAACAGTTAAATAACAGCTAACTCAGACTCTGCTTTTAAACAAGCAAACATATTCACATACACAAAAGACAGGCGCTTGGTTGCAGCACTTTAAGCCAAGGGACTGACCTGGCCTTGGAGTTCTGGGTTAGCATTGAAGCACTCCTCTTCTGTCCCAGTCTCACCCAGCTCTACTCTCAGCGGGAGCAGCAAGTCTTCTCAACTGTCCTGCTAGCTCTCTATTGGCCCGTATCACCTTCTGCCCCTTCTATGCCTCTGGAGGACTATATCTCACTGGCCAAAAAAGATTTTTCTTAAGCAGGAAGTGTCAGGACACCAATGACTCCAACAGGATGCTGAGATGGCCTGAATGACTCTGTCACACTCCCATTCTCTCGTCTCCCATTCTACTGACTGTTTAGGATTCCCTCTCTTGCATCATGCATCAGATCTGATTGCAAACTCTTTGGGTATGGCCCATGTGAAATGTGCCTATATTTTGAGGAGCCTGGCACACTTCTGGACATTTTAACAAACAGCTGCCAAGAAGGAAACTGGTTAAGAATTGCCAATAAAGTGGCAGCTAATTAATAGTGCTGTTTTGAAAACACATACTTTTTTCAAACACAAGTAACTGTAAAGGTTACACTCAGCAAAAAAATGACAACTGGAGTTACAATAACTCTCATTAAGGATGGCCTCTTCATTCCCTTATCAATACAAGCTACTGAATTTTTGTAGCTATATACTTACATTTCAATTTTGTGATGTTATGGAAAGTCAGAATTCTCCGCTATGCTGCCAGCCTCTTTAAGTCACTCTGAGGGTGCCACAGGGTCAGAATTCTGTCCATAATTGACCAGGAGAGAATTCCCTGTGTGGAAGGGAACTACCTGCCAGTGTGAAGCTGGAACAATTGGCTCCTGATTCATCCAACCTCCTGCTCCGGTAATGGACATTAGGGAAGAGAGAAGACTGCTTTATTATGCACTGGCATAAGGGATTCTACGCTAATGCAGAGATGCCAACCTTGCTCTGAGACTTTTAGGGATTTTTATGAAAAAAAAGAGAGAGAGAAATTAGGGAGGTTGCTTGGACCATTCTCTCCCCACCTCTGCCCTGAGGAACTGGGACCTCTCCCCTTTCCCTTCTCCTCCCTGTCTACGGCCGGGGAGGGGGAAGGTCTGTGTGTTCCCTTTTACAACCTGACCGCCACACCCAAACATGGAGAAAAGGAAGAGCTGCCCTTCTATGATACCTAGGGCCCTTAATTACCTTGGCCAGTTCCGGGACTGGACCTTTTTCCTGGGAAGATTGTGCTGGCCTGCTCTAGGTTCCAAGGATGAGTTAACATAGTCCAGCAGGGTCCACACAGGGCCGTTACAACGCAAAATGCAGCCCGTGGGCTGCGCAATGAACCCAGCAGTGTCCCAAGCCAGCAATGAGGCATCTATGGTGATGGTTCTTATTTTTGTGTTTCAGCGGGCGGCATGTGAATGGAGTCCTCACATAGGGCTTGTGGGGATCCTTCCACCAATTCAGGGAGTCGAGAACCTTCTGTGGAATAGATATCCTTTTGCTCAAGCTGTGTAGGCTGTCCTGAGCCAGACCTGGAGATACCTCGAATGCAGTCTGGCATCGGGTGTAATGAACATGCAGGCTGCCACGTGTCCTAGCATCTGCAGGAAGGTCTGCGCTGTGGTTTGAGAGCTCCTCTGAAGGGTACAGATGAAGTTGCTCATAGTGATGAATCTGTCTGTAGGCAGGAAGGCTCTGACAATTGTGGAAACTGGGGCGGCCCCCGTGAATTCAATGCGTTGGACAGGTGTCAAAGTGGACTTTTGTGTGTTGAGGCTCAGTCCAAAGGAATGGAAGACGGCCAGGGACTTGCAGGTTACAGACTGCACTCTGGGAAGGGACCAAGCCTTGAGGAGTCAGTCATCAAGACAGAGAAAGACCATTATCCCCAATTATCATAACAGGGCATCACAACCGAAAGGACTTCGGTAAAAATTCTGTGCGCAGTCAAGAGTCTGAAGGGGAGCACTATATATTAACAGTGATCATTGCCAATTGTGAACTGTAGAAAGCATCTGTGAGCAGGATGCATCAGTAGGTGGAAATAGGCATCCTGAAGGTCAAGGGATATGAACCAATCCTCCGGATCTAGAGATGGTATTATTGTTGCTAACTTTAGCATCCCAAACCTCTGTGTCCAGATGAACGTGTTCAGAGTTCTGAGGTCTAGGACTGGCCTCCATTCTCCTTTCTTCTTGGGTACCAGGGCGTAACTCGAGCAGAGCCACATCCTGATGAAGGGAGGGACAAAACGTGGTGACTCTCATGAGAAGGGTTTCTGAAAGAGGATTAGGAATGGGGCTGAAGAAGTGAATGTCATAGCCTG